TTTTTCTTTTTTTCTTTTTTTTTTTCTTTTTTTTTCTTTTTTCCCAGCTTTAATGCTACTTAGTAAGTCACTAGCTAAACGCTAATAGAAACAGTATCCATCTGCTACAGGCTTAACGCACTCATTTTTTCTCCTATTGAATTTCCTTTTCACCTAACCCACACCAAGCAAGGCTGCAGAGAAAAAAAATCGTATCCCACCAAATGCTCCACATGTTTAGTGTGCTATGACAAGGAAATTTGAAACTTCTATCTTATCCAGGCTGTGGGGTTTTTTGGCTGATAATGCTTCAAAACATGAATTAGGGTCTGGTGGGGGCTCTGGCCTGCTCTTCTTTCTCCTATCTACTCTCCATGCCCATGATCCTTTTTTTTCCAGTCAGAAAGTTTTCTGGCTCCAATCACACTTTGCAAGCCTATCCCACTTTTCACTGTACTCAGGGGCTCTTGCTTTGTTGGCCTCTAGCCCTAGTATTGAGTTTATCTGGAGGAAAACTGTAGCAATGTAAACTAAAAAACCTTGTTTGATGGCTGGCAATGACAAGGGCCCTCACAGCTAAACTTTTCCCGTGGAAGATCCTAGGCTACCCTACCCAATAAGTAACATCTTCCGCCCTGGGTGAAGGCCATGGAATCAGAATAAGCTCAAAATTTTTCACAGCTAGATTCTGAGGTGGCTCATTTTTGTTACAAGGTGCTGAAAGTTGAGTGCCCAGTTTCTTATACACCTTTGAAAAATCCACGTCATGGCTGTTTGTTTGGTTTTTTTTCCCCACTGTGCATGGTACATAGTTTGTGTTTGTGCCATTTCACTGCCTCTGCGCTGAGAGAAAACATGCACTGCAAATGTCCAGGTCACTCAGACACCTGCCTTGTATCTATGACAAGTTACCTCTTCCTCTCTATGAGTAGTCACCTACAGGACACACAGTGAAGATGAGGTGACGTGAGCTTCACTATGGATAGTTTCCAGGTACCCATCTAGAGCTGAGGTCTGGGCCACCACATCTTCATGGTTGTTTGTTCCAGTTTGTTTAAGTGTATGTGTCTATTCTGGGAATCCCTTCAACTGCAATACTAAAAACTCACACAGTTATGAACCCAGGTTTAATATTTGGGTAATGAGATCAGATGAATGTTCCCTTCAATATCAAAGTATTGTACACCTTCCATAAAAGTTTACTTGAGGAATCATACCACATGCATCATTCAGAGCCTATGGTTTCCTTTAAAACTGCACTTTGCTGAGTGTTGCAATGCAGATGCTGAAGGCAGAATGATTATCCACCTGCCTGCCTCCCTTGTTGTGTTAGCTTCCCTAACAAGAATGGGGAAGTGGAAGAAGCTGCAATACAAACAGTGTGTCAAGGCTTTTGAAATAGCAAACAGGGCTTTCCATTATATTTTACCACCATTAAGTAAATCTGTTTCTGAGACAGGTGCTTCCTACAGTCCAATTTATTTAATGAAAAGTCCAAACCCACAGCCTGCGCTGGTGTCAGGGACTGCAAAGGGAGCCGATGACTCCGTTTGACTGACAAAAGCTAATTCAGAGGAGTCATCTGCGTGAAAAATAAACTGCCAGAGTACTCATAAAACATATTGTCCATGAACAAACTCATGGCAAATATAATCTGAGTAAGTTTTCACTCTCATTGTTTCCTTCAAAAGGTATGCCGCTGCCTGAAAGGTATGCATGGTGAGCGGTGCTGAGAGCTGCAGAGCAAATGCGCAGTGACTGGGTGCCAAGTTCTACAAAAAATATTCCCCAGATAAAAGAGAAGCTGTCATCCAGAAAGCTGCAGTCAGTAAAGATAAAAAGATTGTTTTAACAAGGGAATCAGCGTTGGGAGAAAACAATGCTAAAAAATGAGCAGACAAAAATATAAACACAAAAAATGTGTATTACATCATTCTGTGTTATAGGAGTAATAATGTATATAATCACAGGGAAAAAAATGTCCAGAATGACCAAGAGGGAAGAACTGTGTTCAACTTTGAAATGCTAATAGTGAAAAAGAGTCATAAAAACCTGAGCCTGAAGGGGCCTACATAAATTAATGTCTCTGATATTTCATCCACGTGTTTTTTTTCCTCCTTTTCCTGTAGATATCTTTATCCTTTACCCTAATTAAAAACTTCGTTTGCATGTACTTTGTCTCCCTCTTTCTCTTTACTGCTTCACTATGTTCTGTTCTTTTCCTCTCCATCATCTTTTATCTTTCAAGATATCTTTTTAATTATTTTTTTCCTGAAGGTAATATTTTCAATTCAGTGCAGAAGTGGTAACTCTTTGTTCTTCTTTCTTTTCCTATCTTACCATCTTCTTTTCTTTCTTTCCTGGGCTTTTCAGCACGTCTCCTTCCTTTTAGTCACTCCTTTCTTTCACACCTCCCATTTTCTGGATCCTTGTGTTCTCACTCTTCTCTCCATCTTCTCTCTTACCCTTTCTCCTCTATCACCAAAATTCTCACATATTTCCCTTCCAAAGCCACAAAAATGCTGATTCCAGGCTCTGATCAGGCATGCTCTCCTCTCTTGGCAGACTTTTCTTCTCTGAAGTTCTCCTACACATATTATTACCTCATCCCAAAAACTACTCACAATTGCAAACTTGCTTTCCATTAAATTTAGTCATGTGAATATACAGACTGCTCATATTCACACAGGTATCCTTTCTCCCTCTGTCTCCAAATAGAAATAGGGATGAACTGTCCTCTGCTGCTGCAAGACCAGACCCCAGTTAAATCCTCAGAATTGAAGACTTACTTCTGCCCATCTAAGTCTCTGGTGCCTGGGCTAAAATCCAGATCTGTTGTCCAAGCGGCACACACACCTCTGTCTCCTGCTCCTTCTCAGTGGAGCTGCCACAGAAACATGCAGATAGACAGGTATTATCTTTGTTGCTATGGAGTCTTATCATCAAAGCCCTTTTGAGGCCTCATAATCTTGGATCAATACCTCTTGGCCCAATAACTCCACAAAATAGGCACATCAAAAGCTGTAAAGTAAGGAGAAGACTAAAAAGTATTTTGAGGGCCATAGAAAGATCCTGTAACAGAGCCAGAAAATCAGCTTATCTCTATTGTTTTGCCAGGCTTACCTTCCTTAGCCACTCATCTCAGGCCATGCAAATCTTCTCAAGCTCTCTCCATGTTGCACTAATCTTCAGACACATATAAGTCTTCTGGGGTTTTTTTGGGTAACTCAAGTTGAATTCAAAGGAAGAAATGGGAGAAGCTCTGATTTGGGTGGAGTTGAAGATGGTACCAGGTCCAGAATGCAAGTGCATCACTAGGTCACAGACAGAAAATGCTATCTGGGCAAGGGGCATGCTCCAGGGACAGCACTCCCTGCCATCAGCATGCTTCCAAGGTGCTTGGATATATATTCTTTTAGCAGGGCTTTCTCTGCCATTTAAATACTCATTTGTACGTCGCATAATCCAATATGTAAATATGTAGTCAGTTTTCAACTGCTTGGGTTTTGTCTTTTTTTGGTGGTTTTGGGTTTTTTTGTTTTGTTTTGTTTTTTGTTTTTTTTTTTCTTTTTTCAGTCTAGAAAGCAGCCTATTGAATAATCAGTCAAATATTTTTGCTTCTTTTCATGACACACCTCCTCTCACTCACACTATCCAGATAGTGGCACGTGCTCAGCAGCTGAAAATCTGTCAGAATACTAAGGAACTGGAAGTCCAAGGGAGTGATTAAGAAAATCTATGACAGTTTCTAACATACTGTTATTACCTCCATAATGAAGTTTGATTGAGTTGATGCAAGCAGGTCATTACAATTGTTTTTAAATCAATTTACGGCTCAGAAAGATTCAAGAAGATGGCACGGTGACAGAGCCTGGAATCATCATGAGAGGCAGCACTGCGTGGCTGCACTAAGTCATACTGCTTTGCTCTTACTTCCTCTATAGCAATTTTCATCTGCAGCTAAAGAGCTGGAAAGATGAGGGGAAGAAAAAAAAAAAAAGTGTACTAAAATCAGGACGCTCGCACATCAGCCAAGCTTTGTTTGTTCTTTCTCATTTGCATTCTTTCCCCCAGTGGTTCAATACTGAAATTTAGCTGACTGTTCCCTTAGAGATGAGGCACCCAAAGGCTTTTCACCTACTAGTGTCAACTTACAGCCCCAGCCCATACCTCTATTTGTCTGAGATGCTTTTAAGATGGTTTTGAAGGGATCAGCAGCCCCTCAAGCCACACCTCTCACACATACTGTATTCCTCTCCATTCACACCTCAAATTCATCCTTGGGGAGAAATGTTTGTTAGCTCAAGAAATACACATACACATATGTGTGTGCAAGCAGTCAAGAGCTAAATGGAGACTGATCTTGGGGAAAGTGGAGGAATGGAGGCACACTGCTGCCTGCCCTAAAGCTGACTAGTGCCTTCCTGCCTTTCTTTTTTCTGTTTTCACTTATAATTATTTGTTCTTGTTCTGTATTTGCACTGTGGAAGTATTGAAAACTCAAAAGGATAGGGGCAACAGCTGAGCAAGACCCTTGCAGTCAAACAACTGAAAATATCCTGAGGGAATCTCCTGATCCCTTCAGCTCCACAGGTTCTGCAGAAGAGCTTTCATTTTAGAAAAAAAAACCCATATTTTTTGGAACAGCAAAAGCAGGATTTTCCAGAAACAATGTATTGAGAACAAAACCAGTTTGTATTCCAGAATATATTGCATGTTATATATGTTATAAAAGTGCAGAACCAAATAAAAAAGTTTGAAATTTCTGCACAGTGTTTCAGTTTTCACAAAAAGAAGAACACCATGTTGAAAAACACTCAACTCTGTATAAAAATCCCTTTTTGGGAGAATTTGGCATTTCAGAGAAAATCAGAAAAGAGTTATGAATGTTCAGGCTTTGGTTGTAAGGATGTAAAATTTCTTCATTTCAGGAAGTAAAAAATCCTGTGTGTTCCTGAGTGTCATTTATGGGTCAGGAAAAGAACCTGCAAAGCTGTAAAGAAGCCAATTACTAACCGATGTGCTATATTGTGTCGTGTTTGCTGAACTAATATTTTGCTGTGATGCATATGTCTGATTTGAAGAGTTCTTGGCTCTGGAGATTTCATAATTACTTGGATATGAAGATCCAGATTGACATAGCTGTGGCTTAGCTGCATTCAGGCAGAGCTTGTCACCAGGCACAGGGAACACAGGCTGTAGAAAAAAATGCCATTATTCAGTAGATAAGGACGACGGCTCACAATTATTATACTTCCTCTCAGTGTTTTAATTTTCACGCTGTTTTTCAGTGACATTGAGAGTAGCAGGCAGAGCAAACAAAGCCTAAGCAACAGCTCCTTGCCACTGCTCCTTAATAAAAGGAAATGTATCACTCTCTACCGCCTGACCTTTGCAACGAGATGTAATGAAGTGACAAAAAGAGAAGGGGTGATGCAGCTACCAAGTTTACACTTGAAAGAGTTTATCGCAATGCTCAATTGATATCTGAAACTTCCTCCTAAACAACATGTTTCCGAGGTCAGTGAAGGATGTTCTTGTGACTTTCAGTTGGTTCTGGTGAGGCTCTCCAAGTGCCCGCTTCATCTAACACTGAACAAACACAGAGAGCTGATGAATGCAATAGGTATGTGAAAAGAGAGTGTGGCACCTGAAGAGAGTTTGAAATAGAAAAGACCAAAGGTGAAAAGATTAAAAAAAAAGAGCAGAGTTCCAATTCTTTGACACTTATCTTCTTAGATAAAGATTCCTGTTTAATCCCACAAGATACTATTGTTTTTTAGCTGAATTAAACCAGCAATGTGATCAAAATACTTGTTAATCCTGTATTGTTCATTTTCTCCGCTAACACCACCCAGAGTCTAGGTCTGTTTAGCAGCAGACAGAATTATTGATTGCTTCTGTTTTGCATTTAAGAATAGCAAAACACCCATTTGGAGTTCTTTAACAAAATATCCAACTATTAATGAGTATATAAAAGGTATTAAAAACTGAGAGAAAGTGAAAAGGTAGTCTAGACATGTTAGGAATAAAGACACTTTCTTGTCTTAAAACAGCTTTTAGCAATAACACTTGCAGAATATTAATACTTGCTGCTTGCTCTTGCTCATTTTGATGATGGTATGTACTGAATCAAGTTTAAAATAAAATTTTTTTGCATAACAAAATGTTTCATTTTACCAAAATTTTTGTTACAGTTTTTATGTTAAGTGCTTTATGAAGCACTTTTATTCTTTCTATGCAAATCAGAAAAAAATATTTCTAAAACAAAATGTAATGGAAATTAATTTTCTCATTTCTGACGTGTTACTTGGAGCTGAACTCCTCAAAGTCTTCTGGAGAAGGACAGGCCCTCACTTGGACCACTCATTGCTGCAGTAAGTTTTGCTCAGGGATGTGTCCCAGTGCACCTTAGTGCACATGAAGAAAGGAGCTGGAATGCCACTGCCTTCATGAAAATTGAACATTCCTATAATGTCAACAATATTCACTAAAAAAAAGGATGATTCAACATTGGATGTATAATCATAGAATCGTGTTAGAATCATCATAGAATCATAGAACAGCTTGGGTTGGAGGGGACTCCAAGGATCATCAAGCTCCAACCCCCTGCCACATGTTGGGCCACCAACCTCCACATTTAATACTAGACCAGACTGCCCAGGGCCCCTTTCCAACCTGGCTTTGAACACCTCTAGGGAGGAGCATCCACAACCTCTCTGGATAGCCTGTCCCAGCTGTTCCAGATTTATAAAATTCACTGTGTCTTGCCTAGGGGTTGTCCTTGGAAGCTATTAATTTGGAAGAAAAAATTGCATTTAGTATTCTCTAAAGTCACTGAGTCATTTTGGCCACCTGTGTGCTTTGTTAAAGGAAGACTGCTCCTGCCCACTGCAACAAGCAGCACATCACCTCGACACATTGTTCAGAAAATCAGAAAAATGAATAAACATAGAGGGGAAAATGCCATGTGGAAGTGGTTAGTTCATAACAGTGACTTTCAATATTAGTTGGTTTAATTAATTGAATGCTCAATTATGCAAACACTTTGCCTTCTGTTCTAACAATGATTCACATAGGTAAAAAAAATGTCCAGTTAAGCAGCAAACAGAGAAGAAAACACCTTTCAGGTTAGAAGACAGAAAAAATCAGGCATTTGTTGAGGAAATAGTTCCCCAAGTAACATTCAGTGCCACATATTATTATTCACGGAAGACAGAGGGTGGCAGTTCAAATGTACACAGTGTTTTTAATCACTGATTTAAAGTTGGTGTGGTCATTAAATCGTAATGGATTCTGGCTGAGGGCTGTCTCTCCATTAAATACTAGCAAATAATTTCTGTGTTTATCTGTCCCCGGCTTTAAGAGGAGATTGTTTGTTGACTTTGAACCCTAACACAAGGCATTCCTTTTCAGCATTCTAAAATAACGCCATCTTTATTATTTTATTCTTAATATTTAAACAGGTTGAATAATTTAGCAAAGAGAATAATCCTCTAATTTCACTTTAATGATGGCTCTGTAAAGTCAAACCCTGCAGAGGCTTTAAAACTGTGTCATGAAAAACACAGCCATGAAGAACAGTGTGTGGGCACTACCCACAGCAATGGTGTGGCCACCAGGGCAGTTTGCTTGCAGCTAACCAAGTTGCAGACAAATCATAAGCAGAGTTTTAGCAAAGCACGATTCGAGATTCAGTGGGACCTACGTGAGGTTGAGCCTAAATTGTGAAACTACACAGTGTCCCAATGCACTGTGCCAACACTAGGAAGGTTCCCAGTGCCCACTGCATGACAGCGAGTTGGAAGCATTCAGTCCCAGGTCACTGAATGCAGCTTCAGTCTCTTCAACAAGAGCTGTGCTGAGGTTTTGGGCCCTGGTGCACACAGTGTTTAACCATCTAAATTGCATTGAATTGAGATCACAGAGCGCAGCTTCACATAGAGCTAATCAAAATACTGTGCTAAATGAATAACTCTAAGCTCATATTCTGCCAGCTAACCAAATAACCAAACACGCTTTGAATTTTGGACCTGATCATAGAATCATAGAATGGCCTGGGCTGAAAGGGACCACAATGATCATCTAGTTTCAACCTCCCTGCTATATGCATACGTAACTCTCCTAAGCACAACCTCCCCCCCCAACAGAAAATCCCCAGAAGCCAAGGCCCATCACCGAACCTCCTTCCAAAGACAGTGTAATGACATGCATTCCAGCATAGCTCTACAAAGCTGTTATGCAAGAACAGTGTGCCTGAAAACAGCCTCTGGTCATAGCGGTGCTGAAAATATGTTGTTGTCTTTTTTATAAGCGAAAACAAGAGGGAAAAGAAAACACTTATTTGTAAAAATAAATGCCCAGGTTTTCATTTATACAGGAATGACTTTGTTGTGTGGTATGCCCTTCAATAAAATTATAGCTTAGGTCCACAAGTGTGTGCGTGTTTTGAGGTCTTATACTTAACCTTATCCTTTCTTCATTTTAAAGGCATCCAACATCGTTAACGACCAGGAATGTAAATTACACACATTTGTACTCATGTACATTGCCTACCTAATTTTACAACTCCTATTAAATGCTTTAATTACACACAATGGGTTATAAATATTAAACCAGAAATGTATCTAAATAACTTTTACAGCGACACCAGAAGCTATGAAAATCCTTAGAAAGTGAAAAGTCTTCGCTGAAAAATAGCTTCCATAATTCACAAATGAAAATACTGAGAATTTAGGCCCTTAGGTCTTTTTTTTCCCCAACTTTTAATCCACTTTACACTAACAGAATTTTAAAAGCTCTTTGTTTCAAGGCCTGTGCTATTGTGCTGGTGTGCTCACATATTAAAAACCACACCAGAAAAGCATTTCTTTTACCTAATTATGAAGAGAATGAAATTAATATACTGCTCATAATAACTCAACACTTCCCCAAATGCACGTATTTTCATTATTTGCTTGTACATTACTTATTTCCATCCCTGCGACCTTATTCCTTATAACTATGTTATAAACTTCTTCAAGAGTATGGAAAGAATATTTAATACAAAGCAAAGTAATTATAGTCTGAAGGTTCTGAAATATAACTGAAGTGTATCCCTTGGGCTATTTCCTGATAATTAGGTATGACATAAATAATCATGATTAATTATATTTCTGGATAGTGATCTGCCTCCAATGAAATATTGCTATCCCTGATAATGCTTAACAATAAAAAAAACAACCCTACGTGTGTTTAAACAGAATATTTTCTTAAACCTCATGTGCAACTCAGCCGCATAGGTTACAAAATGGCTTTGATGTTTCTCTGATATATTGTGCCACTGGAATAACAATTCTACATTTCTGAGGGCATTAAATAATACCATTTAGAAATAAATCAAAATCCAGAGGTTGACAATTGCAGCAATTAATTCTATTAGATGAGTTTTTGTTGAATAAGCTTTTAACAAGATCTTGATATTTTCTAATGTCCCGTATATTAAAGCTGAGAAGAACTGTCTGTTATATCCTTCTGGTTATAGAAAACAGGCAGGTATTTGACTCAGAGCATGAACTATTTAAGATGATTTTAAATAAAATGCTGTTGATTAATTTGTTGATGACTGTGAATGCCGTTTGTGTTTCCAGATCAAGAACAGAACTTTCCTTTTTGGAAAGAATGCCAAAAGTTTTCCTATTTATATCCAGCATTATTATTATTATTACATCGGGCATTATTATTAATATATCATGACTACCTTGAGGGTCATCTTAAGCTGTACAAGGCAGTGCCCTGCAGAAGCAGTTCAGAAATAGAAATGAGAAGTGAAGAGCATGACTAGCAGTACTTTGTGCAAGGAACACACAGCCTGACCTTCAGGACTGGCTATCCAGTGAGCCCTAACCCTACCATCAGCAGCTCAGACAGCCTTGAACATGCCCAGAAGCATACTTGGACTCACTTCTGGCAGAGCATCGATGGAGTCAGTCCCATGAGCTGGCTTACAGCATCTCTGGCTGTAACAGCATTGGAGCAAGAGCAGGAGCAGGAGGAAGAAGGTGCTTTGTGTGGATCCAGTGTTCCGGTTTTTTGGAGAAGTGTCTTGAGAAATGACTGCGCATTTGCCTTGCTTCAGACTTTCCAGGCAGGATGTGCTCACAAAAGAATGAGTAGACCTAAGCAAGCCCAGGAAGTCAGGAAAGCATCAATTCCAG